GCCTTCAGCGTGAAGAGCATGTCGCGCACCCCCCGCGCAGCTTCTTTGAGCATCTCTTTGAAATGCTCCTGATAAATCGAGCCAGCATGTGCGTCAATGGCGTTCTGGCCATCAGCCACCATTCCCTCAATACGTTTCTTGAAGAGCGGGTCATGGAAGAGGTGACGCGGTATAGCTTGTTCTCCCCGAGGTCTGTGGTGGCGCTGGCGCAACGTAGTCACCAGCGCAGCATGATCAGAGATTTGAGCACGGGACAACGCCTCTAGCTCGCCGACCGTGGTGGATTCAGCATGAGCTTGGCATAGCATCCATCCAGGTAGAGAACAAAAGAACCGGTCTATGCAGCTGACAGAGTTGGTGTGCTTCGTATAGTGAGTAGCCGCTGACGATGATACTTCAAGGAGCGCGCCCAGAGAGCGTAGCCAACGGGCAGCTTGGGCACGATGATTCCGAGGATCAGAAGCACGCGAGGGAAGTGGGCGATGGAGCACCAGAGCTTCGTCGGGGCCAAAGTTCAGGTCACCTTGCACGATGACCAGGTGGTGGGTTGGGTCAGACGCCGCGGCGACCCGATACCTGTCGATCTGCTCACAGACCATGTCCACCTGGGCGCTTGTGAGGCCGTGGTTGTGTATATTAAAATGTGTCAACTGATAGCCACGTCTATGCACATCAACTTGCAGGGCCCTTCCTGGGATGAGCGGCGTGGCACAGCTAGACGATGCTCCGTCAAGAGCGAGTCGAGGAATAATGGTAGCAACACCTCCAGCACCCGATCCCCCTTGATCGACTGCACAAAATGAGGCGTGGACTACAGCATGGGCATGAGCCTGGAGCACGAACTGTTCCAGTTGGACTCGATCAGCATGAACTTCCTGCATCGCCAGCAACGTGGATTGCAGGTGAATCTGCTGCAGATATCGTAACTTGGTGATAGCCTTCGCCCCTTGGTACTGCAGGGGCGCCCTCGCATTCCATGTAGCACATCTCAAAGCGGTGCTTCCATCTTTGGCTTGAGGAAGGCACCGCTGAGGCGGCGGTGGCGGTGCAATGGTGGATTGAACAAGCTCGCGGACCTCGTGCTTGGCGATGCCGACTTCATTGAGGCCCTCGTCGTTGTAGAGGATGTCGAAGGGCTGGTCGTCAGGCTGGGCGGAGAGCTTGAGGATGTGCGTCCACCCGCAGCGTAGGACACCGCGCTCCCTGTCCACGGCCCATCGCCCTTCATATTTGCCAGCCAGGGCCGTTCGTAGCTTCCTGAGCGCCATTTCCGTTTTAATTTGTTTTGGATTTTTGTCTGGTCCGAGATGGAGGCGAGCGGGAGTTGAGCCTGACACATCAGCCTGGAAGATGCGCCATTCATCGTTCTGCCTGAGATTGGATAGGACTTTGTTGACATACTTGGACGCAAGCCCCACACTGCCATTGAATGAGACGAGGTACCTTCTGCTTGGCATCGGACCGGCGGACTTGATAGTGTATGATGATGCGTCCATGCCCAGCTCCCCCAAGAAGGGAGAGAGTGCAGCACGCACAGAATCGATCCCAACCACCTTCGTTGCCATGGCGACGACGACCGAGGGGTCCTCCACGCGATCGAAGGAGGGCGGTGCCGAGGGAGCCTTCTCGGTGCGCTTGGCGACCATGAGCTCGCTGCGGAGCTCCTCCATCTGCTTACGCAGGTTGGCGATGTCTGCGGTGTGCTTCTCAACATCGATCGAGAGCGTGTTGACATGAGAGCCGAGGGAGTCAATCTTGGACTGTAGGCCACGGTGAATGGCATCGATGTGTGGGCGAACAGTGGCCATGATCTGCTGGTCGATTTCTTTCGGCTGGGCCGAGATCTGTACACGCAGAGACTCCAGTGTGTCGAGAATAGATTTGTTTGACGATTGCACAGTTGCGCCGACGGTAGATCCAACCAGAGATTCCAGTTCCGATCGTAGTTCTCCGAACTGTTCAGCAACTGCATTTGCTGCGACGTGCCTGATATAGTCATCATCATATTGAGGCTGCTGCACTGGAGGTTGGGCAGGGTCACGATGGGCGCCAGCAGGGGACGAGCCAGGAGTACACTGAGAATCGCATCGACCGCCAAAAAGAGCAGAGCCGACAGCGCCCGCCGCGCGGGCAGCCATGCCAGCGACTCCCTTGCCACCGGTGTTGCCGCCTTTGCCGTCCTCCGTGCGCGGGTACTTGTGCTCGGGTGAGCCCCGATCATGGTGGTCATCGTCATTGTCATCCACAGGAAAGGTGGGCATGTCATCGAGCTCCTGGGCAACCTTGGCGAGCGATGCAGCGTCGGGAAGCCCCATGGCGACAGCGGCGCTCGACAGCACAGGAACGGGAAACACCTCCGTTTACCCGTGGAGGCGAGCGACAGGATGAGAGAGAAACACTGCCAGACCACAAAGGGTCTTGCCAGCCGCGGACTAGCGGTATCCACTTGTTCCCCTGTGGAACCTGGCATCTTGAGCCAAAATGGCTACGGAGGAGGAGGAGGAGGAGGAGGAGGAGGAGGCCGGCGAGGTACACAGGGAGGAACACGTGGAGAGGAGCGAGAGGCCGAGGAGGAACGCAAGGAGGAAGGGCAGGAGGAAGAGGGCGGATACATCGCCGCGCAGTGCCGAAAAGCCCATACATACCCTCTATGGGGGCACTCGCTGGCGAATCAAATCGTCGAAAAAACTCGCACCGTCGCTTGAGACGTGTTGTTCTTAGTGTTGTTTGCGTCCCCTGGCCCTCGGGGCTACGCTACAAAAAATGTTCCCAGAAGCTGCTACCGCTGGCGGCGGCGCAAGGCCGACGGCTCTCACAGACTGCGCCGACTCGAAGGATATTTTCCCGCAGAACTCCCTGAACGCTGGCATGGCGGTGCTCCATGGAGCCTTGGAATCCTTACGCCGGCCATCGGCGCTGATGCAATTCTCAACCAAAGACCACGCATCAGACCCCAACTTCTTGGCGCAGCTGGGGCTCATCCACGGGGTGATCACCATGGTCGCCGTCTTCGTTTTGCAACACGTTGGGGCGCCGAGCCACCCGTATGGAACCCAGGCGATCGATCCAGGGAGTAGCTTGACCGCCTGAATCTGGTGTTGCCGAAAGGAGCGATGATCCAGCTTCTCCGCGAAGGACCCCATCTCCTTCAAGCCAGCCTTGCGCAGCATGGGGGCCAAGTTCTCCACGTACACGTTGACTTCGCCCTCTTTGACGTAGACGAAGCAACCGATGCCTGCCAAAGGCCACCCTGCAACCCCGCGCCTCGTGGTGTGTTCGCGCATGGTCACGACGAACGGGGCGAAGGCACCATTCAAGGGCTCACGATCGCTGATCTCCTCCATCTCCACCTCAAGGCTTCCTGCGTCAAAGGAACCACCATTGAGCTGCATGTAGAAGCCCTTGTTCTGCTGGGCTTCTGGCGAGGACATCTTATCTGCCATTTTCGTTGTCTTATGTTTCACTTCGCCGTCGATGGCACCGGTGATATTGTTCAGGCTGCGGAAGTCCACGGCGTGCACGCTCGGCACGTCTGGATCAAAAGTCGTGGAAGTAGGAATGAAAGCTGTCGCTTCATCGTCCTCCAGGGCGACCATGTACCTGGCCAGCTTCGTCGTGGCGCCCTGGGCCACGTACTTTTTGGCCTCCTTCGTTTCGTCGTACGTTTTCTTAGACTTCATTCTCTTTTCTGCCGCCTTTTTGTCGACGACCAAAGCGGCCATGACCGCCGCGCAGCCCTCGACCTCGTCGAGCTTGTCGTTTATCGACGTGGCGATGTCGTGCGCGGACTTTTCGTCCGTCGGCCACGCTGCTACTTTTTTCTTTTGCAGCTCCTGCGACAGCAGCCAAAAATCATCCCTCCTCCTCCTCCTCCTCCTCCACCTTCTCCGGCATTCCCCCTATCCACCACTCCGCCTACCCTCCTCCGCCTCCTCGTCCTCCTGCTCATGCTCCTCCTCTTCCTCCTCCTCCGCCTCCTCCTTCTCCTCGTCCTCCTCCTCCTCCTCCTCCTCCTCCTCCTCCTCCCCCTCCTCCTCCAACCCACCCCCTCCTCCTCCACCGCCTCACTCGCCCGCCGCTGCCTTCTCAGTTTCACCCGTCAGCAACTCATTGCCAACGACTCGCGTCCTCCAGTACCCTTGGACTCCGTCGCCTTCGAAGTAGCCTCTGTAGCGACCTCTGCGCACCGGTAACTGTCCGCCTGCTCGCGGGAGGGGCCCTCGCTCAACGTGTCGTAATCCATTTTCAACTGCGCCGCCATCTCCGCCAATTCGGACTGCGCCTGGAAGGCCTCGTCGAAGGCCTTCTTTGCCGCGGTCATATCGTGGTTCCTCCCGGCCGCGCGACTGCGAGGCTGCGCCTTGCCGCGCGCGGCTGCGACGCCGCGACCTGTGGGGAAGCACCGACCCGTCGCCGTCGAAATCACGGCAACCACGGGTCGGGTTGGGCGAGGTGGGACGCGCCTCGCCGAGAAGGAAAACATTCGACAGGCCGCCGAACTTCAAATTTAAACCTCCTCGCCCGCCCGCGGCGCCTACAGATGGCTCCGCCGATGGCCCAGGGGAGGGCCGGCCGCGCAAATCACGCCCTCAGCCCGACCCTAGGAGACAGCGGGTGGACAAATCATGCCCCCCCCCCACGTCCCCGAGACCATCAAGCCAATCGAATGCAATTGCAATCGCTGTTCTCGCCGCCGTCGCCACCGCAATCACCGTCGCCGCTGCCGCCGCCAGGTGCGCGACCTCGCCCGCAGGATCCCGCTTTGGCCTTCGCCCCCCTCTGCGACGAAGCCGCAGGCCCCCTCTGACCTCGCCTGCCCTGCTTCAGCCTCTCATGCAGGCGGTTCTTCGCCGACGGCGCCCCCCGCAAAGTGCTTCCCGCCCCCTTCGCGCGAGACCTGCCTGCAGAGCTCGCTGCGCGACCCCTCCTCGACGGGGCCGCGCTAGCAACCTCTTCCTCCTCCCCCTCTTCTTCGGACATCTCTGGGTCGGATGGCCCCTCTCCAGTCTTCGCCAGCAATGCCCCCGTCGGTGTCGCCGCCGTCGCCCTCGTCGTCAGACCACGCGGAGGAAGCGCGCCCTCCGCAGCTCGAACCCCGCCCTCGGCCGCACTGCTTCCACGAGGAGAAGGTCGCGGCACCGTCCTTGAAATATTGGCCGCCGCTGGCGGCGAACAACTGATGGCCCGCGCCCCGGACGCGCTTGGAAGCGCGGGCGGCCGCTTCCACTGCCTGCGGGGAACCGTGCTTCTCCCTCTTCTGAATGCTGGACCTCTCTGTGCCCGTCTCGTGCACGAAAGTGGTATGGCCTTGGACCGCTAACTTCAGGATCCCGTTCTCCGTGACCCTGGACACGCGACGATCGGCCACAGACTCGTTCCACTTCTTCTGGGCTTCCTCCTTGGAGTAAAGCTCTTCGCGGATGAACCTGGGAGAGAGAAACAATGACGAATGCGATGGTGGCAATGGCCACCATCCTAAAGACGTGCGGACGAAACAGACGACGTGACGACTATTAACATTAGACTGCGGATGACGTAACTGCGTTCGATGCACCGCAGGCCATGCCATGAACGCCCGCTCGCCCAACATAAACACGTAACGCTGCTTGGACACCCTCTCGTACTGCTTAATCTCTTCCAAGAAGGACTCGGCGGCCTGGCGCTGGAAAGCCCCGCGCCGAGCTGCAGACGACCCTGGGGCGTGAGGGGGCCTGATCTCCATCAATTTGTATTTGTACTCCCTCGGGTGCTGAGCCTTGTAGGAGGACAACGCCTTCGAAGCCCCCTGCTCCCTCGCTTTGGCCTGGAGGAACTGCTCTCCTGACAGGCGCCACGAATGGTAAGGTTTCATGGCTGCGCCGTTCACTCGTAAGTCCTCGTCGGCGATGCTTCCCCCACAGGTGCCACAGACGAGAGGCCCGTCGGCATCCACGTCCTCATCGGCCGCTGTTGCCGCGGCCGCCACCTTGGCGGCTACGGCGGCGGCGCCCCCTGCGCCCTCGCTACCCATGTCCGCGGGACAGACTCGCGAGGCCAGAACTACCCAGAACAAAATGCGCTGATGCCAAAAAAACCTGATCCCAAACTGCAGGTGCCACCTAAACCGAGGACGCATCCCTGCACCCATGCTTTGACAAATCGCGTGGTTGTTGGGCCTCGTGCGTACCTAATCGCTGTTTCTACTTCCACCGTGATCCCTTCTCCTCCTCCTCCTCCTCCTCCTCCTCCTCCTCCTCCCCCTCTTCCTCTTCCTCCGTCCAATAACTCATTTCATGCTCCCCTCGCCCCCTCCTCCTCTTCCTCCTCCTGCCCCCGCTTGTTCCCTGATGTTCCTCCTCTTCCTCCTCTCGGGAAGATCAAGAGTGGAGGCAATTACATCACAACGGTTATCGGCGTTGCCCTGGCCAACTACCCGTGCCGACTCAGAACCCACGGCGCAGAACAGCGCAAACGGTCAAAGTACATGGGAAGAGTCGCCTACTTCACAGAACACTAATACAGGGGGGAGCAAACATACAATAACGAAGTTCAATGTGTCGACACGCGCTTGAGATTCTGATGCTCAAATGTGATTCCATGCTGCTTCTCATGCACAGCGGCATGGTTGAAGACGGAAGGAGATTACGTTGTCTCGAATTTGCAACATATCTTCAGGGAAATAACTAACAACCGTCATGCACGAAGCGCGCCAATGAACAATACAACATTCGCACCGAATGCCTCCTGGGAGTCTGCATGGGCAGCGGTGCTGAGCAGATTCAGGGAGCGGGAAAGGAAAAGGAAGGTCTGAGATCGCGACGCCGTGGCTAGAACAGACACGCCTTCAGTGGCGTGAGCCCTCTCAAGAACACACATCCTGCTCACGAAAGGGCCACAGCAGCGCGTTCGCAGGTGCCGCGCGTCGGGGCGAGATGCCCGCGTCGCCGCGTCGGTATCCCCCCCCCGATGTTCGGCCACGATCTCCCCAGAGCAACGACTCCCGGCGAAAAGCACATGACAAGGCTGGGCTCGAAAGATCCAGGACACGGCTGGCGTCAAACACGGCGATGTATCTGAACGTGCACTGCTGACCTGCAAGTGAGGGGCGAAGATTTCAAGCAGCCCAAGTGCCATATCCGAAAAATTCGAACCACGACATAGCATAACATAGCATGACGTAACATCACATGTTCTGTAACGGTTATCCTACTATTCAAAGCAACGCGACTGAATTGTTCTACGAATAACATGAACGTCTCAAGCCCCTGGCACCATTCTGCACCCTGTGTTCTCCATTCTGCACCCCCTGTTCTCCATTCCGCGCCATTCCGGGCCATTCCCGGCCATTCCGGGTTTTCAGCCCGCCATTCCGGACCATTCCGGGCCATTCCGGGCCATTCTGCTTGGGTTCCGGCTGGGTTCCGGGCCATTCCGGGCCATTCCGGTTGCAGGTTGGGGCGGCTACGCGCGCTCATATCGAGCATTACATGCGATATCAAGATAAGACAATGCAACACAATGATAAGCTGTCAATGCGTTGCTGCATTGATAAGGTATTGCAGTTGAAAATCCAAACGGCCCTGGGAAGCACCAGCACGGCCCCTGAAGACCCACAGACCCTCGATAGGAAAACAGAAGGGACATTCTGGTAACGCACTTTGGTAAGCTGGAGCCCAAAGGGGGCCCCATTTTTTTGACGCGTTGGGCTGGCAGGAATCCAAGAGGAACCCCATTTTGTTAACAAGTTGGGCCGGCTGGAGTCCAAGGTGGACCCCATTTTGTTAAGCGTTGGGCTGGGTCAAGGGACATTCTGGTAACGCACTTTAGTAAGCTGGAGTCCAAGGGGGACCCCATTTTGTTAACGCGTTGGGCCAGCTGGAGTCCAAGGGGGACCCCATTTTGTTAACACGTTGGGCCGGCTGGAGTCCAAGGGGGACCCCATTTTGTTAACGCGTTGGGCTGGGTCAACGGACATTCTGGTAACGCACTTTGGTAAGCTGGAGTCCGAGGAGGACCCCATTTTGCTAACGCGTTGTGCCGGCTGGAGTCCAAGGGGGACCCCATTTTGTTCAAGCCATTCAAATTGGAAGGATAATTCAGCAAACACCACGCGAACATGATGGACCCACGAACCCGGAAACGGATATAGACATGTGGAGCATGGACACTTTTTCACGATACCCAACTGGGCAACACCTCACGAAACATCCCATGAGACACTTCACGAAACATCCCACGAGACACCTCACGAAACATTCCACGAGACACCTCACGAAACATTCCACGAGACACCCCGCGAAACATTCCACGAGACACCCCACGAAACATTCCACGACGACAGGCAACCACTCAACCAAGGCGGTGTGGTCGTGCTGGGGAGTGGTCGTGCTGGGGTGTGGTCGTGCTGGGGGGTGGTGCTGTGGTCGTGCTGGGGGGGTGGTCGTGCTGGGGGGTGGTCGTGCTGGGGCGTGGTCGTGCGTGCTGGGGCGTGGTCGTGCTGGGGTGTGGTCGTGCTGTGGTGAGGTCTGGGGTGTCGTGCTGTGCGTGGGGTGGGGCTCTGCGTGCTGGGGTGGTCGTGTCGTGCTGGGGTGGTCGTGCTGGGGTGTGGTCGTTCTGGGGTGTGGTCGTGCTGGGGTGTGGTCGTGCTAGGGTGGGGTCGTGCTGGGGTGGGGTCGTGCTGGGGTGTGGTCGTGCTGGGGTGTGGTCGTGCTGGGGTGTGGTCGTGCTGGGGCGTGGTCGTGCTGGGGCGTGGGTCGTGCTGGGGTGGGGTCGTGCTGGGGTGTGGTCGTGCTGGGGTGGTCCGCACCCTGTGATTTATCGATCGGGTCGTGCTGGGGTGTGGTCGTGCTGGTGCTGGGGTGTGGTCGTGCTGGGGTGTGGTCGTGCTGGGGTGTGGTCGTGCTGGGGTGTGGTCGTGCTGGGGTGTGGTCGTGTTGGGGCGTGGTCGTGCTGGGCGTGATCGTGCTGGGGTGTGGTCATGCTGGGGGTGTGGTCGTGCTGAGGTGGCCCGCGCCCTGTGATTTACCGATCGGGATTTCAAAAACAAGCGTTTCGCCGGAGACATCCTCAAATTTTAATCCGCCGGCCTCCTTCGACCTCGATATTTAGCAGGGAAAGAATCCGCCGGCCTCCTTCAAGTTGGGCACGGGGGACTATGTTTACATACTAGAAGAGAACCCTGGGCCCGCGCCCTTTCTGGGAAAAAACCCACGACGTAGCAAAAGTGCCCCAAGAGGCCCCCAAGAAGGTCCTCGAGGGCCCCGAATCGCCGAAGTATTGGTCCTAGTCGCGATAGCCTCCAGACGGCTCAGGAGGTTTCCAAAACGCTCCAAGAGGCCTCCAAGAGCACTCTCAAAAGGGCTCAAAAGAGGAAAATTCATAGATTTCCTTCAGGTTTTTGAAATATTTCGGCATTCTCGCCCTGTCAGCTCCCCGACGCTCCAAGACAGGCCAAGAGGCCCCCAAGACCGCCCCAAGATGGCCCAAGAGGCCCCCAAGAGGGCCCCAAAACGACCCAAGAAGGGCCCCAAGACCGCCCAAGAGGCTTCCAAGACAGCCGAAGAGACCCCCAAGACGGCTCCAAGAGTGAGCCCAGACGGGGGCCCGAACAGATACTTCGAGCCCTCGGCCAGAGAAGCTCCCAGGAAGCCCCCACACGCCCCTAGAAGCTCCGAGAGGCCCCCAGGATACCCCCAGGAAGCCCGAAAAGGCCCCCACGAGGCCCCCAGACCGTCCCCAATACCCTCCCACGAGGCCCCAAAACTACCTCCAAGAGGCCCCCGAGAGCGCTCGTCGTCGTCGTCGTCGCCCTTCACGGTCGGCGGCACCGGCCGTAAGGCCTTCGCAATATGTGACCGGGATAACAGCCGAGGAGGTGCCAGGCGTGTCGGAGGCGAGACAGTGGGAGCAAGGATGAGAGAGAGAGAGAGAGAGAGAGAGAGAGAGAGAGAGAGAAAGAGAGAGAGAGAGAGAGAGAGAGAGAGAGAGAGAGAGAGAGAGAGAGAAGAGGTTGTTGTTTTTCCTTAGTTCGTGAGGTCCTGGCACACTCCCCGGACATGCAAAATCGGGCGACAATATTTTTGAAAATATTGACGCCTGATTTTGGCCAACGAATCGGGTTTGGGAGAGGTTGGTGTATCCTGTAATCGTGCCTTCCCAGCTCACTCCCAAAAGAGAGGGGAAAAACGGCCGTCAATATTTTTGAAAATATTGACGCCTGATTTTGGCCACCGAATGGGGTTTGGAAGAGGTTGGTTTATCCTGTAATCGTGCCTTCCCAGATCACTCCCAAAAGAGAGGGGAAAACGGCCGTCAATATTTTTGAAAATATTGACGCCTGATTTTGGCCACCGAATCGGGTTTGGAAGAGGTTGGTTTATCCTGTAATCGCGCCTTCCCAGCTCACTCCCAAAAGAGAGGGGAAAAACGGCCGTCAATATTTTTGAAAATATTGACGCCTGATTTTGGCCACCGAATCGGGTTTGGAAGAGGTTGGTTTATCCTGTAATCGTGCCTTCCCAGCTCACTCCCGAAAGAGAGGGGAAAACGGCCGTCAATATTTTTGAAAATATTGACGCCTGATTTTGGCCACCGAATCGGGTTTCGGAGAGGTTGGTGTATCCTGTAATCGTGCCTTCCCAGCTCACTCCCAAAAGAGAGGGGAAAAACGGCCGTCAATATTTTTGAAAATATTGACGCCTGATCTTGGCCACCGAATCGGGTTTGGAAGAGGTTGGTTTATCCTGTAATCGTGCCTTCCCAGATCACTTCCAAAAGCGAGGGGGAAAACGGCCGTCAATATTTTTGAAAATATTGACGCCTGATTTTGGCCACCGAATCGGGTTTGGAAGAGGTTGGTTTATCATGTAATCGCGCCTTCCCAGCTCACTCCCAAAAGAGATGGGAAAAACTGCCGTCAATATTTTTGAAAATATTGACGCCTGATTTTGGCCACCGAAGCGCCCTTTCCGGGACAAAAACATCTAAGAAGCCCCCCAACAAAACCCAACAAACTCGTAGCAACAGAGACAACGGGAGAGAGAGAAAGAGAGAGAGAGAGAGAGAGAAA